GTAAATTAATACTGGCAAACCCGTATGCAGGGAGCCAAATCCGCCATCAACTTGCTTGTAAGCAGCTTCTCGAAAGAGGTTGCCATCGATAGCCTTATTTATTAACAAATGCTACTATTGGTATTTGTTACCTCTGAGTTATTTCTCGAAAATTTCCATTTCTCGGAGAGAGTGAATAAGAAATGGCTTGAATTGTTTGCATAAGCTTTAATCACTGACAAGTTTGCTTTTCAGTCCGGATGAAGAAGGTATTTGCGAAAGTCGGCATTTCACGCAAAACGGTCTGGTACATTTGGTTGAAAAAACAGCTCAGTTCATGGAGAAAGCTCAGATGTATGAGTTGATGCTGCAGCTTTATAAGGTAATCCACTCAATTCCTTGGTTTTTTCGAAAAGTATGAATTTTAGGCATTATTTCTCAAAATTACTGGGATTCCTGATTAATGCCCGAGTTTCTGCGGTTTTTAAGCCAAACTTATCAGGCCCAGTTTTCTGAAGACTCTCTCCTATTTAGAACTGTCTCTCTTAGTTGTTTTTACTCCTTTTCGAATAAGATCGAAGTGTGTGCCGCAGCTTCGCATGATTTTTTATCCATAAATTTGAAAATTACATGCTGGTGGAGTGGCTTGCACACTTCTGCCACCATTGATAGTTCGTTTGCTAGCGCGAAATCTATGATAACTAGTGCTTTCATGTTTTTTGATCAACTATCTTGCCGCGCTTTTGCCCATCAGCATACGCGGACCCTTTCCCCCGTCGCCCCGCTCCAGCGGCACAGACATAAATAAGACTAAAGCAGCTCTAAGTAGCAGTGTTACAACTCTGTTTCTGGTTTTTGCATAGACGCAGGGCGGGAAGGAACTCCCCCTGTACCCCTCCCCGTCTTCCCCCTCCTCCAACTAGGAGTCCTTTCTGGATTCGCCTATGTCCATCAGTGCAGTTAACAAACTTTCTATACTTACTGCCTTTCAGGCAGCACAACAAGTTTGCTTGGCAGCCTACTTGCTTTTCTTAGCATTTCTTTTTTCTTTTTTTTTGTTTTCCTGGCAGAACTGCTAGATCCTCAGCTGTTAATTGTGTTGTTTGTATTGTATTAGTTGTGTTTTTCGAGTACTGAGTTTTTTATCGCACTTTTTATTCCTCTAATTTATCTTCGATACTAGCTGTACGTAAGGGGGGTTTTAAAAGCTGTCGTGAAAAATAAACTGTAATACATTATAACAATATACTTGGATCATCGATATTTCTTCATCCAGTTTACCAGCTGCTGTTGCTGAAAGCTTTTCCGGTAAATCTGCCCAGTGTAGCATTTTCTGTTGGTCTGCATACTGGCGATTCTGACTTTTGTTGAAAATACAAAAATCTCCAGTTTTTGCACATTGCTAAAATTTATTTGGTGGTGAGATTCAGTTCTGCGGGATGTCGTCAGGACTGCAAAAACTATCCGGATAATCGATGTGGGACATTTATAAAATACTTCTAGATATTAATTTAGGTTATAACACCAATTTTGGAAGAGAATCGCGATTATCGGCATTTGGCACAGGTGCACAGTCGATTGAGTGATGCTCTTGCGCGAATTGAACCAACAGTACCACTGATTGAAGATATTGCTGATGCCTGGTACTCTCCGTTACCAAGGTCTCGTGAATCAGAATTTTCTATTATTCTCTTTTTTGTAATATTATACAGAACCACAAGAAGCAACCTGAGTAATAGCAAGTATCAACAGCATCCACTCATTTTCCATATGAACAACAAATATTCTGGCAAAATTTCAGCTACTGCTTTCCGGCTTATTTCTGAGTTGGCACAGTGCCAACTGTGAACTTTGGTTTGACAATACGCCTGGTATAAGTGTGTGCAATAGCTGAATTTGAAATCTTTACTCATTGGCAAGGCTGTTTATAGCTCCACCACCGATTGCTCAGAAGCAGGCGCTTTTACACGCACCAGTACCAGTTTACCATCGATTAATATAAATGAACGATTTGTAAAGGGATTGTTTGTCCTATAGTCATGGCCGAATCCTCAAACTTTAAAACGATAGCAGTGCTAATTACTAGTGTACATCACACTTCATCCCATTTTTCTATAAAGTGTAATTTTGTCGCATCAGCTTATTTTTCTATAAAAAAATATAATTTTATAAAATTTCTTTTGGTATTCTATTAACTGTTACATATTTTTGCGTGACTTGGAACTCTGAATGTTAAAGTACTGAATACTTGGAAACTTTTCTAATGAATTTTTTAAAAACCAAATTATTAGATATTGCTTGAATTCAAAAATTTAGAAATTTTTTGAAATAAGCAATCCTGTACTATTCTTTTATTTATTCGATGGTAAATTGGCACGGATGTGCGCCAGGAAATCAAACCACTATCAGCTTGCTTGTAGGCAATCCAGGAAGGTTGAGGTGGTCGAAAAACCTTGCCAGCAGACGGATTTTCTTGGCATTTTTACTTGTGCTATCTCCTGGTTGCTTTCGCCTTTTTGCGACGGAGTCCTTTTTTGCAAATGATTGTGGATTGGGAGGGAAATGAACTCTTCACTTTTATTCTCTCCGAAACCCCTTCAAGCCGTGATATGTAATTCCTTGCACTACTTTCTGCGCAGCAGCAGGAGTTCTTGTATCTGTAAATATGGCACATATCACTCTATTCGCACTTTCAATTCTTGCTGGCTTTTCGCGAGACTTCCGTGACACTTCTCATAGCGAGTGCGAGCAAGGTTTTTGACTTTCGTTTTTTTTAAAAAATTTTTTTAAAACTTTTTTCCAACATTTTAGTGCAGACAAACGTTGTTTTGGTACATATTTTCGAGTTGGTTTCTATGGCAGTCGTTTTGCTGATTTGGATGGTGTAGAATTTATTTACAAAGAACCAGCAATTACGAAATTATCGGAAATAAGCCATCGCTTAGATAGCTTTTACACCGATCGTTTTGGAAAAGGAGTTGTGGAAGTTATCAAAGACTCCAATGTTGTGAGTTTGTGATTTTCTGATTTTAAAGTAAAACTCTTCCAGGAATTAGTCCGAAGTTTTGTTTTTATTGAGATCGCTAGTACTGTTTTTTGCGAAGTTATTTGATATTACTAAGATACATTCATGAAAAATTGTCCTATCCTGGCCAGCTGTACATTTAGCACTGTATATATGCAATTTGATGATTGGGTATTTTCACTGAGATTTACACTTGAATTATTTCTGACTCGTTTCTTTTTTTTTCTATATTAAACCTTCAGAATGGCGAGACAGAGTTTTTTTTTTTTTTTTGAAAAGTCAAAATATAAGCGAAATTGCTCAAAAGACGATCCTCTTTTGCATATGAGTGTGAACCAAGAGGAAATTAAATTACTCTTCTTCACATCCGGAGCCACATCCTATGTTGCACTGTTAGCACCCTCTATCCCAGGCTCTACCTGGAGCGCCGCTTTGTATTTGCCTTTTAAAGCGGAATTTCTCCTTTACTTCCCCCCTTACACCTCCCCCTTTCTGCTCCTCCTCTCTTCTAGACAGTACAGAGGCTTGTTGTAGCTTTCTCTTTGCCGACTTCTTGGGATTTCCGTGGCACTGGTATTTAAGATGAAGTCATAAAATTTATTACTGTTTATTATCTTCAACGTTTCTTTTTTTTTGTTCTGAAATTCATTGAACAGCCGTTATTATACGTTTTTTGCATCTGTACAATGCAGAAAATGCATATTGACGAGGAGTTGCCTGTGTGTGCTCTGTACCAGTTTTCATTTCAAGACCTGTAAAAACTACAGGGCTGAAAATTTGGGAACTTAATCTATATACACGTGTGGGCTCCGGTCGCCAAGATGAGCACTCTTTCCCGCATAGTACCCACGTACGGCTCCACCAAAGTTTTGGCAAGCAACTTGCTAACTCGGGAACCAGTAATGCTAGAAAGCTGAAATTTTCATAGGATGTTCTCCGTCCATTGGGTATTGATAAGCTTATACCCAGTCCTCGGGTATGCGTGGTTCCCGCGTACGTGCCCATGAAATTTTTTTGCGGGCAAGTTACTAACTCGGGAACTAAGAAAGCTAGAAAGCTGAAATTTTAAGCGGGTACTTCTTGACAGTCCTAGCGGCCAGTTTCAATTCTTTTAGTTAGGAGCATCGGCCGGAAAAAACAATGCCGCTAGCGACAAAAATCTGTGGGGAACTATGCAAAAACGCATCTTCGCACTGGCAGTCAATGTGCTGGCCACTTATTTTTTAGTTTGGATCTTCATCTATGCAGCTGGCAACTTTACATATTTCAGGTTGATCGAAATCGCCTAGATTTATCTAAAGCATTTTTACAAATAACGTATGTTGAGCCCTACTTGGAAAATTGGGAACGACGCCGTCGTCCAACACATTTTGAAAGAAATCATAAATTATATCGTTTTGCTTACGCAACTCCTTTTACAAAAGACGGACGAGCGCATGGCGATTTAAAGGACCAGTACAAACGAAGAACTGTCCTCACCACGCAATATTGGTAATTTTCTTTTTCATAACATCTGCCAGTTACTATGTTCAGAAAAATGTACCCAGGCTGGAGCGCACCGAGCGGGCTCGTGCGATCATATGTTTTTGCACCAGACTTGACGTACTCTGGTCATTATCTGTATGAATGGCTGTTGCTTTTTACCTATCCTTTGCGGTCATTAGTATAAATCATAAATTTTGCTGCCTGGGAAACCACTTCTCCAAAAAACTTTTTTTAAGCTTTCCATATGTGAAAACGCGACTTCGAGTAATTGATCGTGAACAGACTGTTTTGACGCCAATCGAAGTTGCAATCGAAGATATACAAAAGAAAACCCGGGAGCTGGCTGCTGCTACAGCACAGGATCCACCAGATGCAAAAATGTTGCAGATGGTGCTACAAGGTTGCATCGGTACCACCGTCAATCAGGGTCCTATAGAGGTGCGTTTTTTGAGTTATCCAGTCTTACAACATATTTATTTAAAATTTTTTTCCTTTTCTTGCAAACTGCTTTAGATGCGATGAATTTTCTTTTGAATAAAACAAATAAACGCTAAAAATTGAGAATTTTATCATTATTTTGAGGAAGCAGTGGGAAGAGACTTGGTTTGAGGTATCAGCCTGCGTTCCAAGCAAAATCCTTGTTTAAGTTTTTGAAGAAAACTTAAGTAGGGAGGGAAGAAGATGGTTGGTCAGGTACTAACGTGTTATGTCAAGCGAGCATTAAATCACCGTTTCCAAAGCTGGTTTCCTTTTTTGCATAAAAAAAAAAAAAAACTAAAACCGTATTGTATAAACAGACAAACAAACTATATTGTCTTGTCTTCAGCACTGTTTAGCCATCGAAACTAATAAACCGGCGAGTGGTCGAGAAATGAGCTTTTTTTAGCGCAACTTTCAGTTGTCATTTGGCTTAGGATTATGCATAAATTTTTCAATTTTTTAGGTTGCAAACGTATTTTTAACGAATGTAATCCTGGATGAACAGGGCAAACCAGTAGATAGACTGCAAAACAAACTTCGTCTCTGTTTCAAAGATTTCTCGAAGAAATGTGCTGATGCTTTGCACAAGAACAAACAACTGATCCAAGCCGACCAACAAGCCTATCAGGTTCGATTTATATTTTTGATAAAAGACAAAAGTGACTTTTTAGCTGGTCTTTTGCAAACTTTTGGGATTAGTAATACAGCTAACCGCATATTTGATGAAGAGTGAGATGTGACGCATAACAGCACTTATTATGCGTTTTTTGCAGCAATGCAATGCGAAAAACGCATATTGACGAGAGGTTGTCTGTG